AACTCTGCTCACAGGACGCTGCCAGGGGTAAGTCAGTGTGATTGCATGACACTGGTGATGGGAATACCATACAGATTCATGTCAAAAATACCGAACTATCCCTTTAAATTAGATTGCTAAATATGAGGTTTATTTGAGGTTTGTTTGAAAGATTATTTAGGTTTTGCAGCTCTTTCAGGGAGAAAAACCTGCAAAAAATGTCCCTTTGGATTATGAAGGTGGATTTAGATTAAAGCCCATCCATCCGTTAGAATGATCCAAAACCCTAAATGGCGAGACTTTTGGTCTTTAAATGTACAAAATTCTTTAAATATACAGCAGGTCTAGGGAAAGAGATGTACCACAAAAAAGTTACAAGAATATTTTATATGAAACATAAGGTTTGTTTTCTATTCTATATAAAATCCCAAATATTTTACTTTATAACCCGTCAGTTTGAGACACCTTTGATATTTATAGAGGATCTCACAAGTATAATAATTAATTTAATCTAAAGCAGAGATTAAAATGGGATGGCTGAGATTTTTAGTAATACAGAAAAAAAAACTTTGCTAGATCTAAAATTTACAGTAATGTTCTCCCCCCACCCCTTCAGTTTTGACACAGAGACTTAGTAGAAGCTTATATCATTAAATTTGAATAAAGATCATATTACAAAATGTATTTTTTTAGCTAACCTTTACACAAATGTAATAATTGTGCTCGAGTTTTTCCCGAATTGGGCTTATAAAGAAAGAAAAGAGATGAAGCTGAGCTGGTTGACATGGGTTACCTCGTCACAGTCCCCCTCCACCATGGCGTAGATGGCCTTTTTTACCAAATTAGTACCTGAAACAAAATGAGGGAGAAACTTGTGAAGTACAAAAAACAAAAAAGATACAAAAACAACACTGATTTAAATCTTGATTTTTTTTATCTGACCTCATATTTGGAGATCAGAAAGGTCAGAGTTAACCACAGCAACTTCTACAAATCTATCAATGTATTAAAAACATGGAATATTTTACAATCTGTAAAAACTGCTGTAACTGCTGTAAAAAAGTTTTAAAGCGGTTACGTTGCTGTAAATGATCATTTAATGGCACTCACCAATACTTTTCCTTCTGTGTTTTGAGTCCACGGCCAGCATGGCAATATAGCCACGGCGAAACATCTTCTTATGCATGTCAAGCTTACAAACGATGGCTCCCACGCACTCCTGCTCCACCATGGCCTGTAACAGACACACAAACTCTGCACTTAGCTCCACTAAAAAACTGTCAGTCCGGCTGAACTGCAGGAAGTCAGAAGATCTGTCATCCGGTCAGACCTACTGCCTTCCGACATTCATTTTACTTCCTCCAGTAGGTCATGTGGCAGACCTGACCCACTGGAGATGGGAAGTTCAGAAGCTGGAGTCTCTGGACTTTAGAGGAAAATGCTACCTGACTTTCCTCTAGTATTAAAAACGTAATGTTTTTTAAATTTCTCTCCCTAAATCAAATTGAGTAAAAAAAAATATGATGGAGGGGGAAGATAAAGTAAGACTCTTAATTGAAAGTAAGCTACACTCACTGTGTCATTTAATATTTTTGGCCCCATCATCTGTGTCAGGCACAGCACTGACATTGGACAACATATCAAAATCCTAAGAAAAGTTACGGAAGATGATTAGGGCCACTGAAAAAAGAAAAAAAAAAGTTACCTGATTTTTTATTTATTTCAGTATAGTATGAGAAAAAGTCTGAATTTGGACTTTAATCTCAGAATTCTGACAGCTAACAAACATGTTAACATCAAGTCATAACCATGTCTGTTTTAGAGTCTAAACTAGCTCTCTTGCTTTAATCACCTTCTGCTCTTCCATTAATGTAATAGCATCATCTGGGACCCCTCAGGCAGGTAAAAAGTCACCTAATTCCATCATTTTCCACCAATGTGTTACTGTTCCTTCCAAACAACTCACATCTTTGTCAGTGAAGCTCAGTGCTCCCAAATCTCTTCCTTTTTTGAAGCCAGAATTCTGAGATTAAAGTCCGAATTCTGAGATTAAAGTCCGAATTCCGAGATTAAAGTCCGAATTCTGACTTTTTTCCCATATCATACTGAAATAAAATTTAAAAATCAGTTAACTTTTTTTTCAGTGGCCCTAATCCCCTTCCATAGTAACTATAACATCCCATTCTTGCAAAGTCCTTCAGCAATAGTCCTAGTGTGCCTGTAGTTAGAACAGAACATAAAGGATTTACAAAATTATCCCCATTTACCCATCAGAGCACAGGGAAGCACATTCTATTTGAATTTTATTAAAAGCAAAATAAAGTGAAATATTTAATATATTGAACAATAAGGAAAAGAACGTTGATTTTTTTATCTGATCTCTCATTTGGAGGTCAGAGGTCAGAGTCAACCACAGCAAATTCTACAAATCTATCAATGTATTAATAAATATGTAATACTTTGGTGCAAAGCAGCTAGGTTGCTTTAGAGATTCGCATAAATCAGTTTTTTTTGTTTGAGATTCTTCTAATGAGACAAACTGACAGGTGATAAATGAGTTTAAATAAGTGACATGAGGGAAAAACATGAAGGTTTCAGGGTTGTACTCACCAGAAAGCAAAGCTGCGGCCAGTTATGGATGAAGTACCTGTATGTGTAAATGGAATAAGGCTCTGATAAGTCCTTGGTGATGAGTCTCATGATCCAGGGCATCTGCAGCTCGGACTCGTAGCGGACATAGCGGATGCCGTGGCTGTCCTCTGCTCTGCTGGGAGAGCCGCTCAGGTCGAGCCGGGCCAGCTGGGCGGCCGGCGGCTGCAGCTCAGAGGGGCTCTCCCCTCCACAGGGCCCGTCGCTGTCCTCCGATCCTCTCATAGTGTGCTCACGCTGGTCCTCGGCTTCGTGGGTCGCCGGCATCCCGTTCACGCTGCTGTTAGTCACAGGAGAGTGGCTGCCGTTTTTGGAGAAGGGGCTGTGGCCTTCGTGCTGGCAGTGCTCCGTCCTGTTCCTGTCGGCCGCAGCCTCGCTGCAACAGCTGCTGTCACAGTTGTCCTCGGACGGTTTGAGATTGTCAGGCCGGCTCCCTGTGCGCTGGTGGCCGTCGAGGTCCTCAGAGGAGCTGACCAAGCCATTCAGCTGCTGCTGCTGCTCTCCGGCTTGCATTTTCAAGTGGAGAGCCGCCGGGCTAGCCCGGGCTAGCATGTTTTTATGCTTCTTCTTAGCCGACCTTTTGACCTCGTTCACTGGCTGCGTCTTGCCCGTACCGGCGGGCCCGCAGTCCTCCCCGCTGTAGGTGGGCTCTCCGGCTTCCACCGCTGGCTCCGCTCTCCCTGCCCCGGAGAAAGGAGCAACTTCAGCCGGGGATGTAGGCAGTGCGTTACTAGGCCCAGGCGGCACTGTGGCCATCCCACCGCATTAAAGTGGAGAGACGCGCTTCGGAAAAGTCCAACAAAATCTCATCCACCAAGAGAAGAATTAAACGATCAATATCTGAGCCCGTTGACCGAATATTATAAAAATCCGAGCACTTTAGAGGAGATAACGTGACCGTTGGCGACGTTTGTCACTGCTCTCCCCTCGATTTCCCTGCTGCCGCAAACGCCATTGCAACACAAAATGACGTTTTACGACAGTATGGTGAGCTGTGGGAGTTGTAGTTTTTAATGGCTTGTTTAAAAAAATAAGAGTGACTACAAGAAGGATATTGTTTGGTTAAAAGTTATATTTATTGTTATTAATATAATATGGTAATATATATATATATATTCGTATATATAGACTAATTTAATATTTTATTGCTGCTTTTATTTTGTGTTACAATCCATAATTAAATTATCTAAACTTCCTAAGCTAAATTATGATCCTTTAACTTAAAAGCTGTACAATAGACCACTTGCATAATAATGAAAAATTAATAATTGACTGCCATGAATAATCAGCATTTATTTGTAACATATATAATTAATACAAATCCTAATGAGTTTTTTTTATTTATTTGGTAATTATTATATTGTGGCAGCATTTTAATAAGATAGAATATAAAATAGAAATATTCTCCCACAGTGGTGACATTCATACATATTAGCATATATTTAAATCCATTATTTAAATTTTGATTACATTTACATATATAGACAGATTTATTATGCATTTTGTATACACGACTGTATACAAAAATAAATTTAGTTTAAAACAACTCTACACAATTTAATTTTTTGAATTGAAGTCTTGAAAACAGTAATAAATACATTTAAAAAAGTAATATAAACATAGGAGTGTATATTTACAGTTCTAAGATTATTTATTTATTTATTTATTATTATTATTATTATTATTATTTTTAATATATGTGCAAGAATTCATTCTTATTTGACTTATTTTGGTCTTGACTAAAATGTTTCACCAGAGAATTGTGACTTACTTTGGTATTGAATAAATTTAAAAGATGAAGCTTTCCAAAGGGTTTTATTATTATATATTTTTTTATGCAAACATAGTTTGTTTTTAAATGCAAAGACATAACAGGGAATAAAACACAGAGCATATAAAGCAAGAGGGATAGTTTTTTTCTAATAGAACAACATATTACGATAGATTAATTATAAATAACATTACCATAAGCTATGTTTATAACTTTTTTTGTTTGTACTTTTAGAAAAAAGGGGAGACATATGGTTGAGTTTCTTTAACCAGGATAGGGGTAAAAGAAAAAGTGGAAAAAAAATACAAAATTGACCAAATATTAAAAAAAGTTTATTCCATTAAAAATTTCAATCCAATGAGCTCAAATATTTCTTTGATGACAGTAAAAAACCCGAGATTAAGAGTTACAGCGAGTTTAAGCTGGAGAGTAAAAATCGTCGAGATTGCTGGTGTTCATCTCTTCACCACAAGAGGGCGCAAAGTAGATGCAGTTTCAGGGCTGAATTTCTCTAGTTTCTCCAGCAGGTGGCCCCAGTAGACTGGTCACTAATACGTCTAGTTTGCAAACTCATCTAATGTGTACCTAACCATAGTACCTAATATAACTGAAACACTCATAACTTTCACTAACTCATCATTTGGCTGTTTTCCCAAAGAAATAGTTTTTTTTAAACATTATTATCTTAATTTAAAAAAAGTATTTGAAATGTTTTTTAAAGCTTTTAATTTTCTATAGCTATTTATTTTACTACATATGTGTGAAAGACCAACAGTGGATAATATCAGTCAGACATTTAAAGGAACATTTATTTATAAAAAAAAGTTTTAACATAAAAAAGATGTAAGCCTCAATAGGAGAAGCAGCCTCAATGCCCTTGGTAACTCTGGGGGTTTAGCACAGATTCAGAACCTCAACAAATATGGCCTTTTCAGGAAAGCCATTGACTAAGCAAAGACACAAGAAAGACTTTTTGTAGGGGCCAGAGGAAAAACATGCACTGAAAAAAATTGCAATTTTTGCATTTACTTAATTATATTCAGTTATTTTAACACAATTGTTTCATGTTAGGAGGGTAGGACATAAAATAATTGTGTTAAAGCAACTAAATATTATTAAGTAAATGCCAAAAGCGGTTGCAATATTTTTTTCGATGTGTAAGAAGGTGATTTCTAGTTAAAAAGACGAAATCTTTGTAGCAGTATGCACCACTGAACAAACCACTGTCGAGATGAAACATGGTAGTGGCAGCATCATGCTGTGGAGATAACTTATCTAAGGGGGGGTTGGGCAGAGTTTGTGGAAAGATGAACTCGCTTTGTTAATTTATGTGTTTTCCAAACTTTAAAAATGTGTTTTTTGTTTTGTGTAAGCACTCCTGGCAGTCAGTTTCATTGCAGGATGACTGCAGTTCTTGTTGTTCTGTCTTGTCCTGGTCCGTGCACCTGGAGGTGCCTTGCTATAATTTCATGAACTGAGAACTTTCCAGCCTCAAAGCCAAACGCCCATCGCTTCATGTAGGCTAAAAGACGGAAGTCAAGATTGACACATTTCTCAAATGACACTGACATCTTTCTCCCACACCTGCAAGGGGATATTCGTTGGAAATAAAAGTTGTATATGTTTCTGAAGAATTACCACAAAGAAAGAGATGGAGCGATAGAATGGGAGAGAGGTGGCTCTGTTAAAGCTAAGCCTTGGGGCTGAAGACTGACTGAAGAGCTGGAATCAGACATGCACAATCAGTTCCCCTTCAAATCTTCTTTACAGGCCTATCTACTTGAGCAGGCTTCTCTTAATTACTTTCTCTATCACTTAGAAAGCTGTGCTTGCTTGGGACTAAGAGCACTAGTGTCTTGCCAGAGACATTTGGCTGCTTTGAGCCTATATTTATTTAGACCTATCTTCTTTCTCACATGCCCATCCTATGCCCCCCCCACCCCCCACCACTGTACTCCTCGTGTTGCCCCCCTCTCCCTCCTACTTTCATTATACACCGCTCTTGTCTCTCTCCATATAGCGTCTCTACTCTTTTCCAAATATCTCCGGGGTGTCAGTTGCATCATGTGACTGGTGTGCTTGTGATTACAGCTTTTTGGCAGGCATGTTTGCATGCAAGCGAGAACCCAAAATACCTTGAAAGACAAAAGCTGTGAGGGGGTAGAAGGTCAGTGAGGAGTTCTGAAAAAGTCGGAACATAGTTGGGACCAAAAGCCGACTTGAACCCAAGTTTCTTATGCTGGATTTTTAGGTTTCCACTCTTTTATCATCCTGTTTTTTCTTTCTTTATTACTCAGGCATCTGGTCCACTAGTGTTGTATTTAATTAGTTTCTGTTGGGTTAATTAGAGACCCAAGTAGGGAGGGGGGCAGGGTCACATCAGAACATAAGTGGGTCATGCTGGACACATGCAGGTGCTCTCGAGTGGCTGTCAGGTTCAGATTAAGAAGAAAATATAATCGATTATAACACTATATCTGAACATTTCATATTTTAAAATAAAAAAACATGTATAACTTTTAATGGGATTTTATGCTGCGGTGTTAAGAAAAGCTTCAAATTGGGAAATGCATGAAAAATATTCAATTTTCAGTTTATTGTAGATTTCAAAATAGTGCAGAATCCCTTTGTATTCCAGTTATTGAGTGGTGTTTTATAGCAGCCCTTAGCCACTGTTCTCTAACAATTTTGCACATCTACATATTGAACTTTTACTCAAACTTTTTTCAGAAAAATCCTCACAGACAGATTGGATAGGGATTTTCTGTGTTCATCACTTTTCAAGTCTTGCCCTGAAATTTATTAGTCTGGGATTGTTGAAGAGGTGGGGTGTGTTCAACAAGATTTTCTGCAGCCTTTGTTCCACCAGCAGCACAGTTACTGAAAGAGCTGACCTGTAATTAATCTGTTATTGTACCGTAACTTGTCACAAAAATATGATTTGAACAAAAACATACACTTAATCTGTGTGATCAATTATAATTAATTAGCCTACTTTTAAATCTGTGATTTGTTTGTAGAGGCTGAAAGTAAA